AAAAAGTTTCCAAAGGTGGGTTTTAGCAGCAATAGAACCTTTCCGTGAACAGTTCTTAAAAGAACAATTTTTCTTAGAGTGAAGAACATTTTAACAATCTAAAGAACCCTTTTCCACTATAAATAAAATGTTGTTGAATGGAAAGCTTCCATGAATTGACTAAGGTTCTTCACAGGACAATAAATGCCAATAAAGAACCTTTATTTTTAAACAGTGTAGTGCAAAATATTAAAAGTGCATATTGAGTAGACAGAGAAAGTGTAAATAGAAATATTTAAAGATGACTATTTAACTTACCAGAAGGAACCATATACTCCTCTTTGGAGAGTACTGAATCCAGGATGCCTTGACTGATGTCCCAGTTTTGCCAGATAGGCAAAGAGAGTCTTCTGGCCAGATCTTCTGGATCATTATAAAAAACGTCACGCAAATGTTGCTCTCCATCTTCACCATCCTTGTAGAGAGACTGGTAATACTGGGTGGAGAAGACATTGGCCTCGTGCAGCTCTCTGAGAAGCTGGTGCAGTAGGCTAGGGCTGACCTGTAAAGCTTTTCTCACCTGAGACAGTACGTCCTCAAATGGAACCATGACTGCACAGCAGCCGCGAGACACGCTTATTGCAATGCTTCATTTCCTCCTCGTCATACTAAAGCCAATTATCTATGCTTTTGTTCCTGGATAAAAAAAATCCCCTCAGCAGATTACATTTGTCTGCTTTATAATACACTGTGTTTAAGGACAACCAGGTCAGGAGAGGACAGTTTCGCATGTACTTTTTCTAGAAGAAAACTAATGGCGCTAATGTCCTGTGCATGGACGAATCTCACTTCTCCTTTGTTACTAGGAATTAATATGGAAGAGATTATATATACATGCCATGAACAGATCCCAACCCCTACAACTAATACCATAAATGAAATGCTTCCATATACTGAGCACAATGTGTTCCCATCTTCTGAAATTAATATATATATATATTTTGTGATATACATCTGAAAAATAAAAAACACTGTTTTTGCAGTATACGGAGGTAGGAAGACACCAAAACACAACCAAATACAATATTCGCCTAACAATTGTCTACTGAGGTCAGTTTATGAAGGCAGCATGCAGTAGATGTTTTTCGCTAACTAAGATACCCCACAATCCTGTGTGTGCAGTTCTGAAGTTGGTGTAAAAAGAGCACAAAAGGCATGTGATGAAGCAGCTGAAAGGTGTATTTAATTCATAAACGTCAATTATTTCGTCCAAAATGGCAACTGTGTCAGTGTTGCCGTAAGCTGTGCCAGTGGCTCGTCTGATAGTGAAAGTAACTTTTGCTGCCCAAGTGAAAACTGAAACATTACTACATTGTTCTTAATGCAGCAGCCTTTGCTTTCGGTTGCAGCCCAGAAACATTTATTTGGTCCTGTATAAAGACCCTTGAATACTTCCCAATGACTCACAATAAAACATTGCTCTGGCAGACAACACCTTTGCAAAGTGAAAGTGGAAATCCCCTGAAATTTTGATTAAGCACTTACGGTAGCAATATGAATATTATCTGAAGAATAATATAAATACTCTGAAGTATATCTGAAAGGATGAAGCATTTTTTGGTTTGACATACAATGTAACAAGGAACAGTGCAAAAAAGGTTCACACAAGTGTGTGTGTGTGTGT